CAGAGCAATCATACAACCTACAATTGCTTGGTACACAAGAAATCCTAAGATCCCTAGACACGTGAAGAATCACTGCAAACCACAGAATTTTCCACTCACACATATGTCTACCACAATGTCTCAAAAGATACAAAGGGTGACTTACACACAAGGGACTCTCAACCCTAGACCTTTATTTTACACTCTGGTTTTTCTTGATCTGAGTGCTTGATTTCCTATGCTTCTGCTCCTCCTTTTATAGTAGTGCAGATTGGGCTTGGGTTGGTCACAAGTAACAAACATTAGTTTTAACAAAGTAAAATTAATTTCCACAATTCAAGGTGCTGTCAAGTTAGGTCATGGCTTTTCATGATATGGTCAGCACTGCCTAGAATCTCTCCTAAGATAACTGAGAAGCCATAACAAGTTTCCTGAAATTTAGCCTGAGATATATCAGGTATCATGACAGAAAAACAAACCATGCACGCCTGATGTCATACGGCCAATGTTATGACATTCAGTTTTACTAACTCTCAGCTTTCCAACTTGCCCTACTGAACACTTCTGCAGAATCTTTTTCATGACAGTAGAAACAAGCATATTATAGTTTCCTAAAAAGTCTCAAAGATCATTTTTATGAACACTAATTAAATCTTCACTTTGTTCCTAATGAATCTCTTTGGCCTGTACATACTGATGAGGAATATCCAACAGGACCAAAACATTTCTGTCATGAGATATAACATAGCAGCTCCTTCTGCATCCATGGCAGCAGTTCTGTTATCAACTCCTGCTGCACCACTTCTCCTGTTGTTTCTCACACATGACAGTAGTTCTGTCATGACAGCAGATGGATGTTGTGATGGATGTCACGATATTCAGCATGACATTCACATTAAAACACTCCACAGCAGTTCTGTCACCACAGTAGATGGAGATGTTATAGCATCCTGCTTTACCAAAATTTAGCCAATCATAGAACCATGGACAATTCTATATCATAGAACCATGGAACTAACAATCTCCCCCTTTGGCAAATTTTGGCTAAAACAACAGGGCAAACAACAGTAGTTTAGTTTTCTCAACCTATCATGCTCCTCCTTAATAGTTGCATCTACACACTATTACTCTTTCCTTAGCAGAGTAGCAACAACATTTTACTCCCCCTTGGTTTAGTCAAAAGTTGACAAAATTGGAGTAAGTGTATATGCTCATAACAGAGCCAAACCTAAACTGAGTCAGGAACACCGTGCTTCAAATCAAGACTCAGTTGCCCTTCAGTCATCTCTCAATCTCCGGTTGCTTGATCCCTAACAGTAGAACGACTATACTACTGCAGCAACACTCCATGGATAAGCCTTTAAAAACAGCTGGACACAGCACCAACAGCTCCACAGGTCATCACCAGACAACCATAGAGAGAACTAGACTCTCATGCAGCTCCCTCAGAGACACAATGTTCAGATACCCTGTCTGACATTCCAAAAATATTTCTTAAGCACCTTAAGAAATAATTCCTGCATCCACTAGTCAGACTGTAAGCACCAAGGCATGGACTACATCTCTTCTTGTACCAGATCTATCAATATCTAGGACACACAACCATGCTTCATCATGATGAGAAACACTCTTCCACAGTAAAAACTCCACATAGATTTACCCTATGAACATAGTCATTTGATCTTGAGTTTTTGCCTTGTCTGAAGCTGCACCTTCAGGAGTGACACTTTTGTCATCACCAATTAAAGGATAATCAATTAAGTACTTTCCACACGTAACAATTGATTTTAAATCCCTAATTTAAGACACACAAATATTCTCATCAGTGGTTCAGGACACAAGCTTGCCTGAGCTTCAGCAGTCTTTGTACACATCTTCATGTTAGTACAATGCCAACACAAGTAGTGTAGCTACATATCAGACAGGTACACAACTCCTCCTGTCAAGCATACTCAGTACTCCCCCTAAAAAAGAGAGTCCAACCATATGAAGACTTTCTTCAACATCTTCATACTGTAGCTTTACATTCCTACAGACCATACTGGAACAGATAGCAGAAGAGTTGCAGGATAACTATCCGTAAGATCTCCAAAAAGTCAGGGTAAATGCCACATTTCCTTGACTTTTACAGAACCAGAGCTGATGATGTCTTGATCTTCACCTTTGTACAATCTAATTTGGTCCATTGACACCTAATGACATACCCAAAAGGAATACCCTGTCATCTTCACCATGAGCTTGGAGCAGTAACCCAATGTCACAACATCTTGTCTGACATTCTACCTTCATCAAGTCCCAGATTTGTTTGAAACCACAATCAATCTTGACACATAACTGGACTTCTTGCAGCAACCCATCCTAGATAGAAGTATATCTCCCCATATCAAGGGTAACCAGTGTACATGAATGGAAAACATAAGACGCATCTTCATGTCTTCAAGAACTCATTCTCTATTCAACACACATGTTCAACGCATTCACTTACTGCTTGAACCACAAGCAAATGGTACACCTATCAACCAAAAGCTCTCCCCTATCTTTGACCAAATATGCTCCAAGATCACCACATTATATCTTAAGACTAACTTCATGCTCATCCAGTGAGAGTGTATCAAACTGCTCCACTTCTTTATAGAGCCTAAGATATACTCCATGGCATTCTTTACCTCATCATTCTCCCATATGATGGGTTAGAATACTTCTGAGTCGCCTAGTGACTTGATGACTTCCATAAGCCACATCAGGATGCAATCAGCCAATGATCCACTCCAGTCTTGTATAATGTTTTCACATCATTCTCCAAGACAGTCCTTTTACCTCATCATTCTCCCGTATGATAAGATAAAGTACTTCTTAGTCAAGAAGTGAATCACAAGTTCCACAAGAGATCTTCACAAATCAGATGGTTCATATCACAGACACACCTCCCTATTTTCAATCACGACGAAGACATCATAATCGTCGAGGACAAACCGCAACATTTAATTGAGGCGCTCGTCCCCGACCCACTCCGCTACCGGTCTGTCCAGGGGGTCCACAACAGCCTTGTCTTGACGATCCTCTTCGTCGTCGGACAGATACCACTGCGTCTCCTCTTCTTCATGATCGACCATTTACCCGAAAAGCAGAGGAACTTGGTGAATTCGACAGCCAAATCAAATCCATCCTTCCATTGCAGTTCAAGTGAAAGGGTGTGGTCGCCGGGGCCCCAGAAGACCATTTTTAGGTAGCCCAACCTTCCAATGTGCTCGGGGAATGCAATCTTTATCCTCGACGCATTCATCAACCTTGTCCGGGGTATTCATCGACCACCCTCGGGACGTTCAAATTTTCGTCGATCCTCCCTGTGCCACTCATCGCAAGGGTCGGGGACAGTCAGACGCAACCCTAGTTTTGAAGGACTCTCCGGCGTATTCGTCGAAAAAGCCCACGGTCACCCCAGCGCCCCCAGCAGAGCCGTCAAAAACAGCGTCGGAAATACTAAAGAAACACCAGTAGGGAGGCAGAGACTTATGTGATTTGGTGGAAAAAATCGGCCGCGTCGAGCAGAAAGAATGCAGGTGTCGAGCAGAAAGGTTGAGGATGTCGAGCAGGAAAATCAAAAGGTCGGGCAGCAGGTGTTAGTTGGACCCACCTACCTGACATAAGTTAAAGTGCATAGAACCTCAGTTGATCCCAACTAACACTTAATAGAACATTTAAAAAAAAAAGAGATATTACAACTGACCTGCGAATTGTACTTATCAATTAAGGGTTGTGGAAATGAAAACTAAATGAACCACTAGAGAAATGTTCCAAGTATTTGAGGATCAGTAAAAGATAACTTAACGTAGATTGAATTATTTAAGGACCAAGATGAAACAAAGACAATTAAAACTAAGAAATGTTTATAGTGATTGATTTTTATGTCACAAAAATTAGTTTATTTAAGTTATATTTCACGTCAGTACCATATAATTTTATTCACTGATTTTGACTAGCAGAATATATGAAAATGATTAACGTAGTCCAATTTATAAAGTTGAAAGATCAAAATAATTTCTTTTTTAAAGTTAAGGTATTAAATTGGATCCAAATACAATGTAATAGACGAAAAATAGTATTTAGGCTAATATATTTTAAAAAGTAAAATATTCTATTGATTTTTTTATTTATAAAAAAATGATTTTAATTATTTAAAAAAATAATAAATAATTATAAATTTGAATTATTGATATAACAAGTCAAACATATTTAATAATTTACTATTATAATTGATTAAATCTAATACAGTTTTAAATTCTTAATTAAAATGAGTTATTTTTACATTTATCTTATTTTATTTATAATTTGAGAAAAAAGAGATTTTTTTCTCTATAGATTATGACAGAGAAAATAATAAAAAAGTAAGAGAATAGAAAAGCAAAAAAACATAATGACAATAATAAATATAAAATTAAAAATTGAAAGAGTAAAATATTAACTTGATTAATATTTTTAAAATTAACTCTTATTTTTTAAAAAATATTTTTTATTTTTTATTAAATAATAAAATATAGTAATTAATAATAAGCTTTAATTTTTATTCATTATTAATATAAACGATTAATCTCCGAGGGTAGGATTGATTCTTTTCTAAGACGGGATTTCAAAAATTTTATGTGTTTTGACTTTTCATTTAATTTTTACACTATCAATTATTCATAACTATTAAATTTTAATGTGTTTTGACTTTTCATTTAATGACATTTAAAATACCATCAATAGATAGTTGAGATGCATCGAAGACTATCGTGCAAAACTTTAAATATTGAAAGAGGATATTAATTAATCACTTAAACTTTTTTAATTATTACTAATAACAGTTTAAAATGTAAAAGAGTAGATATTTAAGTGGAAGCGGCGGCTACATTAATTTATTAACGAGAGTGTGACCGTTAATCACGAAGAAGAAGAAGTTTGTTATCGGTTAGCACAAAATTGACTCTTATAATGAACACCTAAAACCCAAACCAACACCTTCTTCTCTATTCTTTCTCTCAATGGAGGCATCGTCACCTTCAACTGTATTATGGTGGGACAACTGGGTCCAAGAGGCACTTACAACTCTTGATTCTCTCAAAGTACTTCGATCTCTTAGACCCATTTCGCTACGGAGCCAGAAGATTCGCGTAGATGATGACGAGGATGATGCATTCGAGGTGTTCGATGAAATGCAGCAATGGGATCGTTCCTCTGTTGAAGTTGAAATCGGTGAAACCACTTTTCGCAAATGGATGCATGATACCCCAAGTTCTGGTAATTTACTACTCTGTGAATTTTTGTGTGTGAGAAGGAAATTGCGGTTTGTTGCGGTTGCGTAAGCTACTGCGTCAGCAATATTGCGGTTGTGGAGTGCTATTTAAATCCATGCTTTAGGTTAATTTTATGGTAGTAAAATAGTATTGCACCATGCACAAGTTTGGTTTCACCATTAGATCAATGAGTTCCATTGTATTTTACTCGATCCATTGATGGGATTGAATGATCCAATGGTGAAAATAAACTTGTGCATCGATACATCACCACCTACTTCACTTGTGCATCATAGAAGGAGCCCTGCTTAGAAATGATAATTCATGTATCTGTTTGTTTGCCTTAACTATCCCGCAATGTTTTAAAGACATGTTAGGTGATTATGTGTAAGATTATGGCGAAAGTTGATCCTTGTAACCGACCCAACTTATTGGGATAATGCTTGGTTGTTGTTGTTATGTGATTATGTGTAAGAAACTAAGAATTGAAAACAACAACCGGAAATATTCCCTAAAATCAAAATCAATCATTGAATTCCACAATCATTGAACACAATGCAATAGAAGCCAAAATGTAATGCTGGATGAGTGGAAATGCAAGGTGAGATAGGATCATGAATGATAGCATTGGGGATAGAAAGTGGGGGTAGCACCTATTGTAGAAATATGGTTGAATCTCGTCTTTGGTGGTTTGGGGTGTGTGTGGCAGAGACTTGTAAATTTCACAGTAATAAGAATATATCACATGAATGACAACCCGATCACATGAATCAAAAGAAGGTCAAGAAAAACTATAAGATAGATTTAGAGGCCAATGGTTTGCTATAGACATAATTTATGGTAGAACATTATGACGCCATTTGATTCACACAGCTCACCTCACAGTGGAATAAGACATGGTGATGATTGTTGTTGTTGTTGGTGTTGTAACTATCATGCAAATAAAACCGTTAAATAGAAACTATTTGGTTTAACCTTTAGAATTCCATTCTATTCTTGTCATTTACATCAGTGGGGTTTACTTTGTTTTGTTGTGATTTTGGATGTTAAACCTTTACCATGTTTTGTTATGACTTTAGGCGTTAAACCTTTACTGTATTTTGTTATGACTTTAGACGTTAAACTTGAACTGTTTTTTTCTTGTGGCGAGGTTAGGTGAAGAGATTGTTTATGGCACAGTTGCTGGTGATGACGAACCAGGGGTATGCCAAGAGAAGTTCAAAAAATTAATTTTGTTTTCGGGAAATGATTATTTAGGGCTGAGTTCCCATCCGACCATTGGAAAGGCTGCTTCAAAGGTGTGCTTTATGAATTTTGAATGACTTTTTTTTATCTTTGTTTCTTCAGTTTTCTTAGTCTGGCAATATTGCTGTTATTTTCTTTGTTCCATTTCAGGCAGCTTTAGAACATGGGATGGGACCAAGGGGTTCCGCACTTATTTGTGGGTATACCAATTATCATAGGCAGCTAGAGTCGAGCTTGGCTGATTTGAAAAAGAAGGAGGTAAGTACTGGCTTGCAAGAACTCCTTAAACTGACCTGCTTATGTTATTGGTTCTTCTATGTACCCTGAGTAAACTATACTTAATTGATGCTGTCATTAATCTTAAGAATGAAGAATCATATGCAGCTGTTTGGTATGACTAAAATTTGTCATGCGATGCATAGTAGAAAAAATGATGCATACTTGTGACCCGGCTTATGTCTTAGTTTGAACATTGCTTGATCTTGGTGATTATTTGTGCAGTCTATAAGTTATTTTTGTTCTTTTGTCAATACTAGTGAACAACTGAGTTAAGCGCTTATAGCATAAACACTTATCTTATAAGTGCTTATGTATAAAATGTTTTGATAAATCTTGGAGAGCTTATGGAAATAAACTGAAAATAGCTTATGCAAATTAGCTGAAAATAGCTTATGCAAATTAGCTGAAAATAGCTTATGAATATGTCATAAGCTCTTTCCATAAGCTTTACCTAATAGTCTCACAATTGGTTATGTTAAATAGAAAAGTTCAAATAAGACAATCCAAACAAACTCTTAATACTCGATATGGGTGAAATTATATCCTATACCTTCATTTTATTTCCATTTTCAACCTTTTTATAACTTTAGGTGCAATAATCATGATTAAATCTACATATTAGTTGCTAAGTATAAATTAATCCCAATGGGTCACGTATAACTTCCCTGCCCACCTTTTGCATCTTTGGAACTAATGGGTTATAATCATCTCATACCCACCTATTGCTTAATAAATTGAAAGATGGGCCAATGTGTCCTAGTAAGTCTAGATTGTCTGAAATGCTGACCCGTTTTTGGTTTAAAATCCATGCTATAGGACTGCCTTCTTTGTCCCACAGGGTTTGCTGCCAATATGGCCTTGATGACAGCAATAGGAAGTATTAGTTCTCTCTTAGCTGGGAATAGCATACCTTCAGATAATGAAAAGATTGCCATATTTTCGGATGCATTAAACCATGCGTCAATAATTGATGGTATTCGTCTTGCGGATCGGCAAAAAGGTGTAAAAGTGTACATATATAGACACTGTGACATGTCCCACCTCAATATGCTCCTGTAGGTTTTACTTCTCCACAAGTTGGCATATTATTCTCTTTTCCCCTTCTGGTACAGTCTCTCTACTTATTAATATTTCTGATTTCTTTGATTTTTAGATCTCATTGCAGTATGAAGAGGAAAATTGTGGTAACTGACAGGTTAGTCATTCTGCGACTAGCGAAATAGAACTAGAAAATTTGTTCAAGGTTTAAAATAATTCTTGTTATATGCATATAGTTTCTAGCATAAATCACATGTTATGGGTTTTATGCTGACACTTGTTAAATTTTCCTTGAAGTTGTTATTTATGCTTGTTGTTGACTACATTAATGATTCACGGAGTGTAAACATGCGAACTGAGTGTAATTTCGATGTGATTTACAATTGCGGCTTCCGAATGCGTCGCTTTAGGCGGTGCGATTGAAAATGTAGTTCCTTTAAATGAGATGTACATATACTAGGGGAATTCAATTAGCTACAGTATAGTTGACACATGGTTGTTTCTTGTGTTTCCTGATGTAAATGTGGTATTTGTATATATCTAGCATCATCATCCCCCATCAATGTACTTGCATTCCTTGAGAAGAGATAATGCTTGACAAGCATACATTCTGTTTGGTGTATATACACGGAGTAGATGTTTTAGATTATTCTTCTATGATGCTTCAATAAAATTGTAAAAGTCAAAACTATTTTGTGAATCGATTTCAAAGCTTTCTCAAAATACACATCACATGAACTAACTACGTATACTTAATGGTTTTGATTTTGGGCAATATCGTCACTGTTTTAACTGCAACAAGGAAGAAGGATGACATATCATTCTATCCCTACCTAGAAGATATATTACATTGATGGTGTGTATTATGGTTTGTCTGATTTGTTGCAGCTTGTTTAGCATGGATGGAGACTTTGCACCAATGATTGAGCTTGCAAAACTTCGTAAGAAGCATGGCTTTTTACTGGTCATCGATGATGTAAGATCTTTTAATATGTTTTAGAAAACACCTATTATTTCATGACGACTGTTCTGTGGTGTTATGTATATGGTTCTGATCATCGGTCTAAGGTTAACACCGAGGAAGGGCTTAAGATCATAATCACAAAACACCTATTCCATATGATTAATATTCCTTGAAAGCAATTACTCACTCTTCCATATATTGTCTGTGATTTACTATTTATGTGATACAAGGAAAAAATGTCTTGTCTTTGCTTTGTGATTTACTATTTATGTGATACAAGGAAAAAATGTCTTGTCTTTGCTTAGTTTGCGATAAGTCTGGTGCAACTATATGCTAACATAATAAAAACCCATGTATCTAGGCTCATGGAACATTTGTTTGTGGTAAAAATGGCGGTGGTGTCGCTGAGGAGTTTAACTGTGAGAAGGATGTGGACATATGCATTGGTACTCTAAGTAAAGCTGCCGGCTGCCATGGAGGATTTATAGCATGCAGGTATGTTTGAGTACACTTGGTTCTAAACTAAACATATAGGAGATTGATTTCAGGCTTGTTTTCTGCACTACATTAGCACAAAAAACGCAATTATGTTTCTTGAATAGTTTACCAATCAGTTTTTCTATTTTATGAATTCTTATAGCAAAACGTGGAAGTTATTAATACAGTCAAGAGGTCGTTCATTTATATTTTCAACTTCTACGCCAGTTCCAGTTGCTGCTGCTGCTCATGGTGAGCTCCAAGTGTTGTACATGAATTGATATATACTTCAGTATTGAAGATTTCCAATAAAAAATATAATGAAATATTTGTACCATTCCAGTTCCTATTTCTTACTATTTATTTCTTTCCTGCATCGTTCATATTTATTGTTCTATATCATTGTATTGTGTAGTCTTGCGATACATTTCATGTATTTGTCTTATAATTTAGTTGATACCGTCATTTCATTTTCCTCTCGTGGGAATAACTTATTTCTTAAAATGTTGATGCAATTTTCAAGCTGCTGTTAGAGTTGCAATATCGGAGAAATGGCGAAGAAAGGCTATTTGGAATCGAGTGAAAGACTTTCATTTGCTTACTGGGATCCCTGTTACAAGTCACATTATATCCCTAATAGTTGGCAGTGAAGACAAAGCACTGCAAGCAAGCCGGTAAGGTTCCCTACTCTCTGGATTTCTCTTCATCATATCTTGTTGCCCAAGTATTACATAAGTCCACCGCTTCAGAAGCTGATCATGCAATCATTGTTTCACTAAGAATTTTTCACTGTTTCTGGAACAGGCATTTACTACAAGCTGGCTTCCACGTGACTGCAATCAGACCACCAACAGTGCCTCCTAACTCATGCAGGTTAGTACCTTTTATCTGTGTTTATATATTTTTTCCATCCTTACATCTGATATTTTACTTTCTCATCACTATTATTTAGGCTGCGAGTGGCCCTAAGTGCTGTCCATACAAGGGAAGATTTGGAAAACTTAGCAGCTGCACTCTCCAGCTGCATCAATTTCCAAGACACCCGCATTTATGACTGCAATGGCTATGCAAGATTATAACTTTGCATTCTATCATCAGAATGAATTGCATCAATGTGATTAGCTATCCAGGAACAACACAGATTTTTTAAGGATATTGCATTTGTAGAGATTGTGTTATTATTCCATAATAATGGCAAGCTATTTTTTAAGGAAACTGGAATATCTTCTGGAGGAGGTAAAGCTGCATCATAAAAGACATATTTTAACATATATTAAAATGGGTGAAATGATATTTTGACATCAAAATGGAAGATAATGAGACAATATTTACACAACATTAGTCAATATTTCATGTAAAGTAAAAAAAATGAAACAAAATCTTACTTTGTGATAGCTTGACTATATCTTCTTCAAGAACAAAAACTTTGTTAAAGTTTTGACCACTTTTTTGCTCCCATAGTGATATCAATTCATTTTGTGTTATGATATTCTTTGAAGGCCGATACACAATAATGCGATTGTGTGTTCTCGGATCATTTGCCACTTTAATAGTGTACACAGCAATATCTTCATAATTTAGTATAGCTAACAAATAAAAACATATTGGTAGATATCAGTATATAATAATTATTAATTTATTCATTTGAATGCAACAAGAAAATACAATAATAATGATTTAAATGAGCGGGTTCCTATATTATTAAGATGGAAAAAAGTAAAAAATCATTTTACCTTGAAAGATAATGAGTTGAGCTAATCTATATTGAAAGTAGAGAAGTCTCCAACAACAACAACTAAAATTCTAAAAAACATAAAAGTCCAATTATGCTATTCTTATATATATATATATTATTTTATATAAGATTTTTAGTTGTAGAGAATAAAAAAAAGTGATAAGGTGTTTGTATAATTTGGGGAAGTAATATAGAGCTTTCGGGCTGACCACATACCTAGTAGAAAAGTCCAATTATGATGAGACATATTCAAAAAGGTGCATTCTAAGACATCGAGGACTTAGGGTACCTCACAATCATGAGACAAGTACTTGATCTTTGTCCTAAAATGATCGTCCCCCGTGCAAGGCATATCAAAAACTCCAAGAGGAAATGTAGCGCGTTTTCAAGTAAATACTGAAATGCGGTTGCTAGGGATTGATCTAATGAGCAGTTACATTTTTACCTCGAGTGAATGATTAACTGAGGGAAAAGTGGCGCACTTTCCATGACACCCTTCATTACCTCAACCTCCACACTGAGGTCAAATCCCTATTTCAACCGAGGTATAAGCCTTGTTTATCCACAGTATATAAAGTCAACACACTCCATTTTAGGTATTCTCTCATTCACACACTGAACTACTTTCTCACTTATTCACTAACTTTAGCGTTAGAGTGCTAACCTTGATAGTCCACCCCGCCCTGTCGTACCAGAAGTTTGCTCCACTACATAAGAACTGTGTTTCATTCAACCTCTACCTATTTTTGGTTCATTTATGGAAAATTGCACCATTTAATGGAATTGACATCTAATTTCAAAGTCATAAATCACTATTGTGATATTGCTCAAAAGAAGACGATGATGTCCAGTCTAGTTACTGAAGTCGCCACAGGTCAATCAACTCTAAGACCATCCCTTTACCTTAGGGTCTCTCTGATTGTGGTGGAACCTTTAGCAAGGAAGGGGAGAATGAAAAGCATCCACCACAAAACTCTTCAAGAACTTCGGTGGTAACTTGGTGGCAGGAAAAAGACCAACCTATCTTAGGGTTTCAAGATTGCGAGAAAGTGGATGGAGTTCCTAATGAGACACTTCCACTAGTCTTAATATTGCCATAACAAATTACTGAGTGTCAGGGATCCATATCAATGATGGGATTTGTTGTGACTTTATGTACATCAACATTTTCAAGAGGTTAGTGTTGTGTGAGCAGGATCTCATGTCATATGAAGACATGAATCTTTTGGCGTTCTACTCATACGTGTGGGGTGATAGAATTACCAGTTTCTATTGGAGAATGAAAGAATTAGAGGATTGTGAACACATGATTCTTAGTAATCACTGCAAAAGCATATACAATTCTATCCTACAGAGATCATTCCTTGTGACACTAGATGTAATGGATTCTACATGAAACCATTCTAAAAGAACCCTAAGCAACTAGGTCGTTTCAATTGAAGACTCGTGAGATTATCATTAGTTCAATCGACCCCAGTGTATGAGAAGATGAAAGTCTACGAGATGATGAGATTGGCTCTCTGTCAAGGGTAAAAGAGAAATCAACGAGGGTGGTTCCTAAAGACAACTTTTAGGTTTTACAACTAGATGATAATGAGGTAAGATCAGCCTGTATAGGAGCTGATTTTCTATCCTTGGTGAAGAAAGGGCTCATTGAGTGCATTAAAGCTAATGTCAACCTCTTCGTAGTTTTTCCCGACTAGATGCTCGGTATAAACCCTAGTCTGACTTATCACCAATTCAATACTAATCCTAATGCCTGTTATGTGGCAAAAAAAAAAAAGACATAAAATTCCCTAAAAAGAGTGACGCAACATTGAGTTTAGTCTGAGGTCTACTTGATGCTCATTTTTTTCAGAAGTAAAATATAATGAATGGTTATCCATTGATGTATTAGTCAATATATCACCAGGAAAGTGGAGAAAATTCATTGACTACACCGACCTTAACCGAGCCTTCCTAAAGATTCATATCCACTCAAAAACATCGACAAGCTAGTGGATAACTTAACCGGTTATATACTATTGGCATTCATGGACACGTACTCCAACTATAACCAAACACCCATGTTGGAGGAAGACAAGGACAAACGGTTTTCATGACAAAACGAGCTAACTATCGATACAATGTCATACCCCTTGGCCTGAATGGTAACATACCATAGGATGATGAACAAAATCTTCAGAGAAGAAATACCTGAAAAGATAGAAGTTCACATGGATGATATGATCATCAAGTCTAGTGAATAAGGATCACAAAGAACACTTGGAAAGCATGTTTCGACAAATTTGACAATATAACATGAGACTCAATCTAGAAAAATGAACTTTTAGATTTAGAGTCGGAAAATTCCTAGGTTTCTACTTAATGGTGCATCCACCCAAAAGTACTAAATGGTGTCGGAAGGAAAACCAAGGTCTTGTTAGTCCTTTCGAACCATTTCTACCCCACTGTCAACAAAAATACAATGTTCTGCATAAATTCTAGAATGACCCAAAAAATAGAGATTCTCCCGAATTTCCTTACCTTTGGGTTCCCGACCATTCAAATACCTAAAAGATCTAATTTAAGAACAAGCCCTCAAAGCTTCTCTATATGGTTCAACAAAATCAAGATTTTCCATAGGCAACACTGAAGACGAGGGACCAGGAATGACTTCTCTACTAATGGGACAATCTAAGATCACCCCATAACTCTTCCTACAACATCTTATACAAGTGGGGGGAAAACTTGTATTATCATTTAAGTTAATTATCATCACCACCATATAGTTTATTGAGACTATTACAAGCCTATTTTTGATGATTACTCTTCAACAATCATCTCATAAATGCTATCCAAAAGAAATATTAAAGAGAAAATTTTGATATGTTTTGGAGTGAAGAGTTTATTGAGAGTATTTCAAGCACAATAATATAAAATGATTTTATTGAAAAGCAGTAGATGCAGGAGGTGGAGGATCAACAAGAAACTTATCGAGAAATTCTAGTTGATCCGATTTCTCTTCTGCTTTTTATTTTCTTATCAAGAAAAGCTTGGAATGGAGGAAGAGGATGAATTTTATCTTCTTCAAGGAAAGAATCTCTGCAAGAAAGACACATTTTTAATGAAAAACTTAGTTTCATATTAAAAAACTAATAATAATCTTTTAAAAATCATATTTGATTATCTTATTTTTTAAAATAGGTCTACTTAATATTCACATTGTATTGTGACTTAAATCTTAACTATGTTGAATGGATTGTCTTAGATATTTTATTAAACCAAATTAGAGTGTTGCTAACATTTTAATATGTTTATTTTGAAACAAAGCAATTTTGTTAAAATTATTATTAAAATGATTGATATTCAATAATTTTGTAATTAATTTTAGATATTTAGAAAGAATTAATTTATAAGTTATTTCACATTTTTTTATCATGGTAAAAAATATTAAATATAAATAAAGATTATAACTTGAAAAAATAGTTTTTGAAAAAAGATATTCTTAAATCAATAATAAATAAATATGTAAATAAATTAAATTTTTTTTTTTATATTTAGACGAAGTGGTAAAAATCACAACAACAAAAATTATGAAATAAAAAATTGAACAAACAAATCCAACTCTATAATTTTCTTACTTGCTTTAATTAAACTTAGTTTTTTATGACAGAATAATATAATAATAATAAGGCGAAAATTTACTATAGTAAAAAAAAAGTTATAAGATGTGTCAAACATACCAAAAAAGGTAAAGGAAGAACCAAGGCAAGAAATCAAAGAAGCACAAAAAAATCTCAAACCAAACCGAAAAAAATAATTCAAACAGCTAAAAACCACACGAAATCAAATTTTTTATAATCATCCCTCTCTCACCTATGTCTATCTCTCTCTACAAGGTTTATTTTATTAATTTTTAAAATAAAGTTATCCAAAGGTGAACAAAACAAAAAAAAACATATTCAATGGTGGTTGAACCATGACGGCAGAGAATCATGGTCCAAACCACACCCCTTAAGATTTAGATTAGATCTCAAAATTAGAACCATCATCAATAGATTACAATCTACCAAGAGAGCATTAGAAAACACATATCAAAACAATTTCATAATCAAGACAAACATTTAACTGTTATCACTTAAGATAGAGGATGTGGTTTAGAAGTCATTCAAAGAACAAACATGAATTTACCTATAATAATTTAAAAGTTATTTTTAAGTAAAAAAAATATTTTTCTCCTCGACTTCTTTTAAATGTGTTGAAACATTAGAGAATTTATCATTACAGATCTTCCAAATATACCAAACAAGAGCATTGCCAAATCATAACAAACATGAAGGTTAGACTTAGTACTACCATTTAAAGAGAGAATAAAAACTCGAATAATTCTATGATTACTAAAGAGAACTACATGGCAACCCAACTTCTAGAAGATCTAATACTACACTGACAAAACTAACTCACAATTGACAAAAAAAATGTAAAACTGAATCAATCAAACCCCCACACACAAGACAAAAGATTCCATTAAAATCAACAATCATTCACCACTTAGACAATTTCTCTCTAGAAGTGAGTTTATCTTACAAAATTTGTCAAGAAAAGACCATCACCTTAGAAGGAAACTAACTAATCAAGAAGGGGGAGAAACAAATTTTCAACTAGATGAGAGGACAAAGAAGTGATCTTAAGATCCAAATGAACATGGTAAGTAGAGACAATATAAAATATATCATCTCTTGTATTGTTCCAATTATCTTTATCGTACGAGAGAGAGTAAAGTCTTGAAGAATAGAGAGAAGATATTCATCGACTTTGGAAGTATTTATCACCTTAATATTACCAACAACTTTAATAGCATCTATAATTTTGAGTTGCTCCATCACTAGAGGATATGGAAAGGTACATATCACAATGTCTATTTGCTTAATCACTTCCACTGATCATGCTCAAGTTCTCCCTGCAAATAAAAAATTATTGTTGACATATCCCCTCACAAATTTTTATTTTGTGATGGGTTTTTGCATTATTGAGGGGTTTAACCCCTAATTAAAAATATTTTTTTTTGTAGTGAGTGTTGGGATGGAACCTATAATATAAAATATGGTGGAAAATAGGCATAGGTGGTTTGAACATGTAAAGAGAATATTTGTAGATTATGTGGTAAGGAGACTAGATCAGATATAGAAGAGTTAGACATTTTTCCCCCTCATTGGGTGGCTATTCTTTCCCCTCATTGGGTTTAGACCATGAATGCTGACCTAACAGCTCTTAGTGATAACAAGACATGGATCTTCACCATCCTTCCCCATGGTAAGAAAGCAATTGGTTGTAGATGGGTCTACAAAACCAAATTCAAATCAGATGGCGCCATTGAGACACATAAAGCAAGGTTAGTTGCTAAGGGTTTTACTCAAATCGAAGGTGTGGATTTTTTTTGAAATCTTTTCTCCTGTGGCTAAATTGAGTACTTTTAGGTTGCTCTCTTACCTCATCTTTAAATTTACATTTACACCAATTAGATGTTCATAATGTTTTTCTTCATGGTGATTTAGATTAGGAGGTATACATGTCATTGCCATAAAACACCACTCCTACTCATCCAAATCAAGTTTGCAAACTGTTAAAATCTGTATGTGGCCTTAAACAATCTAGTAGACAATGGTTTGCAAAACCGTCTCATGTTTTAATCTCACACAATTTTACACAATGCCTTGCAAATCATTCCTTATTCATACATAAATCCAGATCCACTTTTACTTTCATGCTAATTTATGTTGATGACTTAATAATTGGAGACAAAACAACATTGAATCAGGTATATAATTTGTTATTTTTCCACTCTTTTAGGAAAGTTTGTTACTAGAATCAGGTATATAAATATAGCTTAATACTCTTTAGTAATATCCAACTTTTATAATAAATTTAACCCAAGATGTCTATTTTCTTCAACCAGTCACAAAATGACTTGTAATAATTGATTCAATACAACATAGAATATTCAATAACTTATTAAGAAATTTATTTAACCAATTCCTAACAACAATGGAAAAAGTTTGATTGGACTCAACAATGATAGCACATTTGATTGGACTAAAACAAGTCCTTTTGAAGACAATATATTAACTCAATCTCATTTGTTCAACCATACTCACAATAGATAATTTATGTGTTATCAAATTAATTAATAGAACTTCTGGTACAATATACCTATAAAATTTATTAATCAAATCAAAATCTGAAAAACCATTACTATAAAATAACTTCATTCAAAAGCAGCAGATGCAGGGAGTGGAGGATCAATAAGAAACTTATCAAGAAGTTGATCAATGGATGTGTAATTATAATCCGGATATAGTTTTGAAACTTCAAGATCATCTTCTCCAAGCTCAAAGTTCATCTCACCCTTCACAAATATGCTATGAACAATCGAAATTGGAATATCTTCTGGAGGCGCCAAATCTGAATCATAATGAGAATATTAATCAATTATTACTATCAAAAATAGTTATATCAACTCATTAACTGTTATAATATTCTTCAAAGTCTTACTTTGTGATAACTTGATAATATTTTCCTCAGGAACAAAAACTTTGTTAAAATTCTGACCAGTTTTCTTCTTCCATAGTAATATCAACTCATTTTGTGTGATGATATTCTTCGAAGGCCTATACACCACTATTCGATTGTGTGCTCTTGCATCATTGGCCACTTTAATAGTATACATAGCGATATCTTCTTCATAATTTAGTATAGCTAACAAATAAAGAAATATTGTGAGATTGCAAATATATAGTAATTGCTTACAACTAATATAATAGAATCAATATTCATACAAAAGTATGTACCTTTGGTTTCACCGTTGCCGTAGACAGCAATATCTTGATTGTTTTCGTGTGGACGAAGCAAGAAATTGACGAAGTATGCACCAAAACAATTTGCAGAAACAAAAGTATAAGGGATTCCAGCTGCTTCAATTTCTCTTCTAATTTTTATTTTTTTATCAAGAAAAGCTTGAAATGGAGGAAGAGGATGGACTCTATCTTCTTCAACACCAAAGTCTGATGGAAGGAATCTCTGCAAAGAATAAACACTTATTAGGGCTGAAAATGAGTCGAGTCGAGTCGAACTCATCTCAGCTCGGCTCGACTCGTTAAAATTTGTTCGAGTTCGATACGAATTTTTTTTAAGCTCAAACTCGACTCGTTATAAGTTCACAAACAGTTCGGTTCAACTCATTAGGTTCAGCTCACATGATTCATGAACTTAAAAACTATTTTTTTAAATATATATATTTTTTAGTATATTTGACATTTTAAATAAATATATTTATTTAAAATAAATAAAAATAAAATAAAAGTTATCATATTGAAATTTAACTTTATCTTCGAAATCTACTAATTTAAAACCTACACAACTTTCAAGAGATACATTTGAGAATCTAATTCAAAAACTACTAAATTGAAGATTAAATTTGTCTAAGATTTGGAGTAAATATTTAAACCTAATCTTAAAGACAGTATAATTCTTCTCATATGTAATCGAGTTGACTCATAAATCTAACGAGTCGAATTATGTATAGTTCAAGTTCAGCTCATTTGGTTAACGAACTTAATTTTTCGCTCATATTCAACTCATTTGCTTCATGAATCTAGTTCAACGATTTAATTGTCTAATCGAATTCTGAACTATTTTCAAGCTGATTCGATTTATTATCGGCCTTAATATTTATAAAACCTTCGCATTATAAATTACGTGCATAACAACCAATTTTAACAATTAGAGTGAAGAAAAATATTCATAGAAGTTTAGAAGTATTTGTCACCTTGATATTACCAGCAACTTTGATAGCATCTATAATTTTGAGTTGCTCCATGACAAGAGGATATGGAAAGGTACATATCACAATGTCTACTTGCTTAATCACTTTCAATATCTGATCATGCTCAAGCTCTCCCTGCAAATAAATAATAATTATTAACATATATTTATTTACAATAAATTAATCAAAATGATTATTTAATATGAATATATGAAGAATTACCTCCACAAGTGTTACTCCCAAGGAATAAAAATCTTTGCAAAGTTGTATCTTAGAGGAAGGAGTTTTTGCATGAAAAGGTTGAGTATACACAAAAGTTGGATAACCTAAGGAAATACTTGCTTTCACCATATATTTTCCAATGTAACCAGTTCCACCAAATACAAGAATCTTATTCTTCTTACACTCCATTTTTTTGTGTGTTATATCTATCTACTATCTATATGGTTTCACCAAATATTTATAGTGAGAAATTCTCATGTATCATTCAACAAAGAAATAGTGATTTCACAAACAAACAACATGTAGTATTTGTACAATAATGACTTGAGCACATTTTTGAATGAAAAACTGACATTTCCTTTCAGCCGCCATGTACGTGACTGGAATATTCAGACCACGACAAACTCCAAGAATGTGTTGGAAGTGTCAAGAAAATGAGGAAATGTCAATCTAAAATATTAATCAAATAATATATTTTAAAATAAATAAGACTCTCATATTAAAACAATCAGTAATATGTGATATGAAAATATATATATTTAAGTTGGTTTTGTAAGTTGAATTAGTACAAATAACAATTCGCAGAGATACTTTAAAGATTTTCAGTAGTCATTTTATAAAATATTTTTTCAGTGAAAAATTTTGCATAAGAGTTTCGATAGTTAATTTTTTGTATCGAAAGATTTTATAAAAAAATTTGGAAATTATTTTTTAAGTTTTTTTGTGTATTGAAAAATTTTGCAAAAGAGTTTTGATAATCAATTTTTGTGTATCAGAAAATTTTACAAAAGAATTTGATAGTCATTTTTCAAAACATTTTTTATCTTTCATTTTATGTCGACTATTAAAAAAAAATTTATAGTCATTTTTGTGTATTGAAAAAACTTTACAAAAGAATTTTAATAGGTATTTTTTAAACTTTTTCTATGTATTAGAAGATTTTATAAAACTTTTTCGATAATTCATTTTTATAATATTTTTTAATTTTTAATAAATAATTTATATGAGAATATTTTAATAAAAAATATGATGTAGACGTAGGGAATAAATGATAAACATACATAATTAAAGCGGAGTTCCAAAATCTTACCTCAGGTTCTATGTCAGCTTCTTCAGTATCCACTTCCACTTCACTTTCCACAATTAATGTTTGGAGTAATGAACTCGATGACATATCTATTGGAAGGACTTATGTTTCCACTAATGATGTCTACCCAAAGTTTTAGTGGTGACTCCTCGCCCTTATCCTTAGCTTCTACTTCACCATTATCCGCCATATGCATTATAGGGGTTCTAAAGGGCTCATTTTTCTCATCACAACTCGATCTTCCCTGAGTTGGATTCAGTACCACCTATAGATCCTCTCTTATAATCATTCTTTTGAATACTTTGTTGTAAGATTGTGGTTAAGATCGACGGCGACGGAGTCTTATTCCTCTTTGACCTCCCCCTCCCACGACCCATACCCTACCAATATTAAGTTACAACTTTTTCCCGGAGAGTCCCTAGTCCGAGAACTAGGATTTTAAACCATCCTGAAAGACGCCGCAACTGAAAGCACACCTTGTTCTCTAGGTCTGAATAGTTTCGCTGAAAAAACAAAGAGTTCGCCGAAAATCGCAGAACCAAAAAGAAAGAGAAAATTATAATTCAATGATTTTATGTCTATTATTATTATTATTATTATTATTATTATTATTATTATTATTATTATTATTATTATTAATTCGTAGTCTATTAAAAAAATTAACCCACTAATTCCACTAACTTCCATTAAATAAATTTAAAAATTGATCATTAAATTTTAATTTTACTTAAAATGCTCATTTAATTCACTACCATATTATTCTCTTTTCATTTTAAATTTGTCCTATTTAGTCTACTAAATATCTATTAAAAGATTACGCTCCAAAATTTACCATTAAACCCTTTTTAATTCAAGTTTATTTTTTCTTAATTTCAGAGTTATTTTGATTTAGGGTCCGTTTGATTCAACGGAGAGGAGGGATTTTAATAAAGGGGAGGACAGGGGATGTATTTTAATTAAATGTATGTTGGGTTCATAAGATGGGGAGGGGAGAGAGAAGTTTTATTCAAATATATGTTTGATTCTTAGGGGGAGGAGAGGAGTTTTAAAACTAATATACCTTTTTACCTTTAAAATATTATAACAACCATGCTAAATAATTTTTTTAAAAAAAGTATTCATAAAAAACGTAGATAATTAAACACAAAATATTTAATATTTAAAGTACTCTAAAATATCTTAAAATGAAAATAAAATATTGATAAACGTCATAAAATCAAATTATATGATCAATGATCATATGAACCATTTTTTCATCTTGATGATTCATTTAATCCTATAACATATTTATAAGATTAAGTTCTATATAATATATAACTCATACTACAATTATATATTGATATGTAATATAATACAACAAATTATAAAATAATTAAGTTATTACAAACAAAATATTAAATAAAAATGAATAGAATAAAACACATGGAAAAAAAAGTTGAATCATAATAATAAAAATAATGGAGTTGCCATTAAACAAATGAAGAAATTATAATAAGGCGACAAAAATTAAGGTATAATATTAATAAAGACAATTAAAAATTTTATTAAATAAAAATGAGGATAATTGCTATTAGGATTAGAGATTTGTGGTCTCTCAAAAGTGTCTCTAACAAACAACATATATGTAGTTCATTATTAACTTAAAATTGTCTTCGTATTTTATGAGTGTTATTTATATTTGATTTTTTAGTGCGACATGATCCAAGTAATTATACCATCGCATTTGGTTTCGAAGAACAAGTCTAAACTTATAGTTGGAAATACCTACCTCATGCAGAATTTTGAGGTTAATAATGATTTCTCCTTTAAAGCAACCACTCATAGTTTCAAGTTAATTTTCTGTGGTGTAACTTCTGCAAAAGTTACTGATTTGCTCGACATTCCTCCTTCACGCCACATTAATCTGATTCTTGAAGGCTTACCTGCTAATTATGCATCAGTTGTGTCTATTGTTGAAAGAAGATTTGGAGTTATGGATATTGATGAGGTTGAAATCTTACTAGTTTCTCATGAACTCTATCTCAACAAGTTTTAGAAACCTTTAGTTCCTGACATAGTCTCCCTCAATCTTACTCACACTATCCCTTCTCATATACCTCATGATGAGGCTCTAATTGTTAATTCAGTTTCCTCTCCTTCCCTTATGCCAACACCTAACACTGATAATAATTACACCATATCTAATTGTTTACACCGAAAATCTTACACCATAGGTTTACACCGTATCAAATACAGCATGGCCATGTGACTCTTTATGTTAGAACAAAGAAAAACATAATAAAATATTTTAGAAAGACAAAACCGTATAATATTACGGTGTAGTTGTTACTATTAGTGTAAAAATAGCATAAGCTTGATGGTCATTTGTTCCTCTCTCATCTCATAGACAAGCTATAGGATGCAAATGGGTGTTTAAGATGAAGGAAAATCCTTATGGGACTATAAATAGGCACAAGGCTAGGATTGATGCCAAAGGTTTCCATCAAAGACGGGTTTGATTTTCGAGAAAACTTTTCAGCAATTGTCAAGCCTATTACTATAAAGGCTTCTGTTGTAATATTGAGATCAATTAATAAAAGGCACAAAAAGTTAATTACAAACAGAATTATGAACAGTGTAAGCATAGCTTTCTAACTGTTTTAAATACTTTCATTTTCATTTCCTTTTTGTTATTCAAATGCTAGTAATTACTTATAAGTATTTTATGTTTGTGGCTAAGATTTGAAAATTGGCCCTTTATTTCATACTCCTGTGTGTCTCCGTTCGACATCTGCTCCCATAACTTAACCATTTTTTGAATTGTTTTCACCGCTTGAAATTCATGCCACAATGTTGGATTTGTATGCCATATCCATTTCATCCAACTTGAAGGCATTGTTTTGAGATAAGCACAATTCGAAAAATACTCTAAATGCAATTGAATTGGGAAGCATTATTGATGACTTCATCGTTTCTTGTATATTCTTGCATCATTGATAAGCACCATTAATAACCAAGTTGATATTTGTATGCACTAATGCATAACACATCCATACATGTACAAGCTTTTCTCCTAATTTGAAACATATATTTATATTAATTTTGTATTCTATGATATCTTTATTCTTAAAAAAGGGTCTTGCATTTCATTAACTAAGGCGTTCTTCTTAAAAGATGAGTGTAAAGAATATCTGCACTGTTTTGATGCAGTAGTTGAATTATATCATGTTTATTGAGTGCCTTGTTTTTCTAACATATGTAACTCAGCAGGCATATTTTAAACATTTTTAATTATTTGTTTCTATTATATTTGAAGCTAGGCAAGTGTTGGTGCACAAGATGAAGAAGATGAAGATGAAAGAAGAGAGGAAGAAGATGAAGATGAAAGAAGAGAGAGAAGAGAATAACAAACTTACACTACTCTTGCAAAAACAGTTACGAAATGGTTATTTCACTACATTTATTATGCGGACTACCGGTTGCTTAGTGTGTGTGCGCGCACACAACTATTGACAGCTATACTAGTATATATATACATACACGAAAGTGTCACGTATGCAATATGCTAAAATACTGAATTACCCTTCAACATCATCCCTTAATTCAGGATTTAACTAATCAAAACTAAAAACACAAATTCAAACTCTCAAGTGGAGAAATTGATTAGTCTTGACCGCCTTCGTCAGAAATCTGTCAGCTGCTTTTGGGTGCTACAGTTCACAACTACTAGCACTCCATTATGGACTTGACTTCTCAGGAAATGATACTTAGTCTCAATATGCTTGCTTCTCTCATGCAGCACTGGGTTATTGGCAAGATTGATTGCAAAATTGTTATTAATCATCAGCTTCATAGGCTTGTTTATCTTGATTTTTCAGATCCTGCAGTAAATTCAGAAGTCAAACAGCATGACATGCAGTCACAACACCTACAATGTATTCAGCTTCACAGGTTGACAAAGCAACAACTGGTTGCTTCTTAGAATACCAAGAGATAGGACCTCCCAAATATTTAAACAAATATCCAGAAGTACTTCTTTTGTCAACTCTGTCTCCTACAATGTTTGTGCGTGTGTGTGTGCGTGCGTGCGTGTGTTTCTTTTGAAAAATAGAGTTTAAAAATTATTTGTGTGGTAGAAAATGTGCGTACAAAATTATATGTTTTTCCGACTGAAAATACAGAGCACCCAATCAGATATACAAAATAGAATGATAGATGAAAAGAATGTCTGAAGTAATCAATATATTAATTGAATCACAATTGAGTTACTAGAGTTGTGTAAAATGAATAGTATCAATACAATAAGAAATATGGTATTAGAGTTTTGAGACTTAGTATACAACAAGATAGTTTTGAAGTTTCAATCTAATAAAACCTAAACTTATCAATGAAATTGTTATCAATATGATAAGTTCTAAGAACATGCGATTCTAAGGGAGCAATAAACCTAAACATACAATTTTAGACAAAAATGAAAATAAAGAGAGAGAAGAAAATAGTATGTCAGATGTATAGTGGTTTGACAATTCATCATCGCTATACTTACTCCATTCTCCAATGGTTTCTTATTGAATTTTTTGTTGTTTTTCCACTATGATTTTGAGAAATTTATACAAAAAAGTTTTGTAGAATCACAATTCGAATAATGTTGAAACTATAAATATTTGATCTAAATCGTCCTTGACTTGTACACACTATGTGGCACTGAGATCATATGAAATATTTACTCGGCTTTGACTTAAATCTTCCAGATTTAAGCCTCCATTCTGAAGTGATCTTTACTCTATCCTACCAATCCCTTGAGCCTTATAATGTTCGGAGATGAGAAAACTCAAACTTTGTCTGTAGGCTTGCACACAGCTCTACCAAAGTAATTCTGGAGATAACAACCTCCTTCTTTTTTGCTAGATTTGTCGATCCCAGCCACAACCACATACACAAATGTAAACCCATAAAATTCTCAATAAATCTTCAAAGAAAATGTTAAATCACAATAACAGTCTTCCTCACCTATCTCACCCTAAGATGAGAACTTGATCTCCAAAGAAAACATTAGTCACAATGCATGAGATTGAAGATGATGAGATTTCATTTGCAAAACTCAAAACAAGATTCAAAATTCTTTTTGAAATTTGAGAGAAAATGTGTGTTGTGAGTTTTAAATCATAAAGTGGAAATCTATGTTATGAACATTGTGAAAGGGATTTGAGAAAAGATTTATATATGTGTTGGAGATATAGCACAAAAGTGAGAGAAAAATACTATTTGATTCGAGTCACGAGCAAGAAATATGAGTACAGTCAAGAGAGTAAATAATTTGAATCACGATCCAAGAACCACGAAAAATTGCTCTCATGATTCACATTAACTCTTTTATAATTTGATACATGTGATTCGAGTCAACAAAACTTCTTATTCAAATTAGATCCAAAAAGCCAAAAGTTAAAATCTGATATTTGTGTTTCATTTGAATAAAGTATATTTGTGATTTGAATAAAGTATATTTGTGATAAGAAGTTAAAAGAGGTTGTGCAACACAATATCCCAAATACATATCAGAAGAAATTTCAACATTTCAATCCACTAAAAAACAATACATTTAATACAAAGTGTACAATAGTCAAGAAAGACTGCACCATATGTGTCTTAGTCTCTACTCTCTACTATACACTATACTTCAAAATTTAATTTGACACACTATAAATCTATATATACAAATATTTACTTTTATTTTTAATAAAGAAGAAACAAAACAAATTATTATTAGCAAAAGCTATGGCAGTAGAGCTTCAAATTGCAAACCATGGAAGAGAATACAATGGAAAGATGACTTCTATTGTGATTCTATAGTGTATGGTAGCTGCCACTGGAGGCATTATCTTTGGTTATGATATAGGAATTTCAGGTCAGTTGTTCGATTAAGATCAGACAATTCTAAAACATGCAAACTTTAATCTTTGTTTTATTATCATATCTCGAAAAAACGATTGATCAAACAATTATTGATATCTCGAATGCGTAGAAACTCCGAACACATAGAATTATAGATTATTTTCTTTATCTCTTTGTAGGTGGTGTAACATCTATGGTGCCATTTTTGGAGAAGTTTTTTCCAGATGTATACAGTAAGATGAAATAAGACAAGAAGATTAGCAATTACTGCAAATTTGACAGTCAACTTCTAACAACATTCACTTCATCACTATATATAGCTGGTCTTTTAGCATCTTTTTTTGCATCATCGGTTACAAGAGTGTTCGGTCGAAAACCGTCGATTCTTGTAGGTGGCGCTGCATTTCTTGTTGGAGCAGCTCTTGGTGGTGGTGCTCTTAATATTTATATGTTGATACTTGGTAGAGTTCTTCTTGGTGTTGGAATCGGTTTCGCTAATCAGGTATAATCATTATCGAATCACGCTCCAGTAATTCGGTCCTGCGCTTGATGAGTATTTGTGTGTTAAGAATCTTACATTGAACGAGATATGACATCATTCACCTGAAAGTCGGTTATATAGACTTGTTAGACTCAACTCGACTTCTAAGAAATTTTAATAGATAGTAGATGTGAAATATGCTTTGATGCAAGTGTAAAACATGATTATGTTGTGAATTAGGAATCACTAAGATAGACATCATACATGATACTGATTCGCCGATAGTAATAATAGCTTGAGAAAACAGAATAAATATATGTAACTATACGTGTCAGTGTCCAACACAGACACGTTTTAGATATCTGACACGTCTTTAATCTGAAATGTCGGTAAAATTTCCATTTTTTTTTTGCAGTCAGTCCCATTATATCTATCAGAAATGGCACTTCCAAGATACAGAGGAGCAATCAACAATGGTTTCCAACTATGTGTTGGAATAGGAGTTCTATCAGCAAATTTAATCAACTTCGGCACAGAAAAAATCAAAGACGGTTACGGCTGGCGAATTTCTCTAGCCATGGCAGCAGTTCCAGCTTCAATCCTCACATTAGGAGCATTTTTTCTACCAGAAACACCAAACAGCATAATCCAAAACAGCAAAAACCATCAAAAAGCTAAGTTAATGTTACAATCCATAAGAGGCACAAACGATGTCGAACAAGAATTTAACGATCTTATTGAAGCAAGTAACATGTCAAATTCTATCAAACATCCATTCAAGAACATCTTACAAAGAAAATATAGACCTCAACTTGTCATGGCAGTAACTATACCTTTTTTTCAACAGTTCACCGGAATCAATGTCATTTCGTTCTATGCTCCTATACTATTCCTAACCATTGGATTAGGCGAAAGCGCTTCACTTTTATCCGCAGTTATGATCGGTATTATCGGTACTACTTCAACATTCATATCAATGCTGATAGTCGATAAACTAGGTAGAAGAGTTCTGTTCATATCAGGTGGAATCCAAATGTTCTTCTCGCAGATTCTTATCGGAAGTATAATGGCATTTCAACTTGGTGATCAAGGTGAAATAAGCAAGAAATATGTATACTTGATTCTAGTTTTGATATGTATATATGTAGCGGGATTCGCTTGGTCTTGGGGGCCATTAGGATGGTTGGTTCCTAGCGAGATTTTTCCGTTGGAGATAAGATCAGCAGCTCAAAGTATAACAGTTGCAGTCAATTTTCTGTTTACTTTCATTGTTGCTCAAACTTTTTTGACTATGTTGTGTCATTTCAAGTATGGAACTTTCTTCTTTTTCGGAGGTTGGGTGGTTGTGATGACGGTGTTTGTTTATTTTCTGTTACCGGAAACCAAGAATGTTCCGATTGAGCAGATGGAAAAGGTTTGGCGAGAACATTTTTTTTGGAAGCGAATTGTTGGAGACAAGAGTGATGGTTAACTAATTACTGTAGTTTATTGATGTAAGTATCAAAATGTCTTCTCGAACCTACTCGGTTTTTTCGTAACCATGTCACAGCTACGAAGTATTTATGAATGTGTTTGGTTTTTGAAAGAGTATTGCAAGAAAAGACAAGAAAAAAGTTGACCGTATATTTAAGGTGTCTGAATCTCTAACCACTCGAATCAATTACACATCGATGAATCAATTGATGTTAAAGATGGATACAAGAAAACTTCATGCAACACTAAAAGTATTAAACTAACATATAGTTTTCATCTCTTTCTAAGTATAACTATTAAACTAATATCAGATCCAATCTCATAGTTCAAAGGGTAAACCAGAGCAATGAACTGATCCAACGCAAAGATTGTTAGCACCTAGCAGAACTAGTTTATGTGCATATCATATCAGAAATCACATGCACTAATATTTAAATAGATATTATTGGTGAGATTTGAAGTTAAAGATTCAACCCTTGATTTCCACTCTTATCATATTCATAGAAATTCAAACTAAACGTATGATGTTCCTTGTATAACTAGAATACTAATATGCCAAAACACATAAATCCTTTATAAAATGGTCCCAGATGGGTCCTTACCAAAGAAATCACAATTCAAATTGTTGATTTGTTTCTAACCATATGGTTAGAAGCATATTCCTGTCACATTCATTGCATATACAATTATTTCTCTCCAATTATTAAAAAGCATTGCTGGTGTACAAATTTGACCTTTCAAAGTCATCATACTATCAATAACAAACAGAAATACTTGTCACACAATTACGGGTGATTTCGGATAAACAATTTAATTAAGCACTTATTCAATAAGTTATTATTACAGGAAGCTAAGTAAAATATTCATCTAGAAAGACTAACTTGAAAAGCTTACATTGAAATAAGCTGAAATATATCTCATAAGTTTGTCAGTTGACTGCAAGTCAAGAGGCACTGTTTGCTTATTTAGCTCTGTATATTCAAATCTCAACTCTCTCTCTCTCTCTCTCTCTCTCTCTCTCTCTCTCACTTCTAAGCTTCTATCTGTGAAAGCTAAAAGAGAAAAGTTAATGGCAGTTGGATTGTCTATAACATCTCAAAATGGACAGAAGGATAATGGAAGGGTGACCCTTTATGTTGTTCTGTCTTGTATGATGGCTGCTATGGGAGGCGTAATATTCGGCTATGACATTGGTATAACAGGTGGTGTTACATCAATGGAACCATTTCTGAAGAAGTTCTTCCACAAGATATATCTTCAGATGAAATCAGATGTCAAAGTTAGCAACTATTGCAAGTTTAACAGTCAACTGTTGACCTCTTTTACATCCTCTCTTTATGTTGCCGGTTTTTTTACTTCCTTCTTGGCTTCTTATATCACTAGAGTCTTCGGACGCAAGCCATCCATCGTTGCAGGTGGCGCTGCGTTTCTTGCCGGTACAGCTCTTGGGGGTGCAGCTTTTAATGTGTACATGCTCATAGTCGGTCGACTTTTGCTTGGAGTTGGGGTTGGTTTCGCAAACCAGGTAACGGTCTCTCCTTACTCATCATTTTCTTCCCAAGCACTTATGTTAAGCTTCTTCGTCAGAACCAGGCTTTGATACCAAGTTGAAAATAAGGTTTTGATGCTGAATCGCTTGAGGGATTAGCTCTCATGATTCTGTGCTGGTTTTGCAGGCGGTTCCTCTATACCTCTCTGAAATGGCACTACCGAGATTTAGAGGGGCGATAAACAATGGTTTCCAATTAAGCATTGGTATCGGCGCTTTGTCTGCTAACCTAATCAACTATGGAACAGAGAAAATTAAAGGGGGTTACGGTTGGCGCGTATCTCTAGCCATGGCAGCAGTTCCAGCCACTTTCTTAACACTAGGTGCACTTTTCCTTCCAGAAACTCCCAATAGCCTAATCCAAACCAGCCAAGACAATCAAAAGGCGAAGCTAATACTTCAACGAATTCGAGGCGTGGAAGATGTTCAAGCAGAACTCGACGACCTCACTAAAGCGAGTTCTTCAACATCAAAAACAAGCGAACAACAATCATTTAAGATTATACTGAAAAGAAGATATAGGCCTCAACTTGTAATGGCAATAGCAATACCATTTTTCCAGCAAGTGACAGGGATCAATGTCATCGCTTTCTATGCTCCGTTACTTTTCAGAACAATCGGATTAGGAGAAAGCGCATCGCTGTTATCATCTGTCATGACAGGTATAGTAGGTACAGGCTCAACGTTCATATCAATGCTCATAGTAGATAAACTTGGAAGGAGAACTTTGTTTATAGTTGGAGGCATTCAAATGCTAGTGTCACAGTGTATAGTTGGAGGCATAATGGCGGTTCATCTCAAAGATCACGGCGGATTGAGCAAAGGCTATGCTTATATTGTTTTGGTAATGATATGTATTTATGTTGCTGGGTTCGGTTGGTCATGGGGGCCACTAGGTTGGTTAGTACCGAGTGAAATTTTTCCATTGGAGATTAGATCTGCTGGACAAAGCATCACAGTGGCAGTGAGTTTTCTCTTCACTTTCGTTATTGCGCAGACTTTTCTCGCTATGCTTTGCCACTTCAAGTCGGGGATTTTCTTCTTCTTTGGTGGTTGGGTGGTGGTGATGACTGTGTTTGTGTATTATTTTCTACCAGAGACAAAAAATGTGCCGCTCGAACAGATGGAGAAAGTGTGGCGGGAACATTGGTTTTGGAAGGGAATAGTCGGAAAAACGAACGACAGTTATGATGCTTTATAAAGGATCCAAGCCTAATGCTATATGAACGATAGCAGAAATTTTTTCGATATTACATGCACATGCACATGTTAATCTTGCAATATCTATGTTAAATGCTCAATTAATATCAGAAATGATGTTTGTTACATTTTAAGCACATTTCTATGCTATCAAATTTCATCGACTGACACGATTAGCATAATAATGACTTAAATTTAAATGCTGGAGGGTACCGATTCCTTTCAAGGTAGCACGGTAAAGACTTCTACGTCTTTCATTGCAGGACTCCTTACTGAATATCTAAATGTCCAACCATGGCAGGAGCCGGCATGTTCCCCGGTTTTATTAACGGCAACGACAGCTCCCACGAAGTTTGGAAATTTTTTGGTTATTCGCGCTATTGCATCCTTGGCGGCGAGTTTAGGTTCCATTCCCAACCTCATGCTTTCCACAACTTGATAGCTGAAATTGAAAAGAGTGATAACCTTGAAAGTTCACGAAAGAAAACTATCAGAATCTAAATGAGAGGAACTTTGGAGTTTCCGTAGTAGTACCATGGAAGGAAGCGCATCATGATGTCGCCATCCCCAGTTGCGCAACATGCGCCAACTTCATCAATAGCATATGCCGAGGATCCAGCTATTGGACCATCACCTACCCTGCAATCAAGAAAAAAATTCAAAAGAAAAATTAACTGTTAAGAAGCAATTTGGCCATTCGAGAAATGAAAAGATCTTCCAACTTCTAAGATTGATACCGACAAATTTACCTTCCAGGAATCTTGAATGTTGCCCCGTTAGTTGATGTGCCAACAGCAATGTGTCCCATCTATACCAAATAAAGAAGTGTTATTTGCAATGCTAATACATGGTGATGTACGCGCATCGATTTTAATGTTGTTATGATAATCTTACTCTATCAATAACAGCCATTGAAATGGTATCGTGGCTGTGAAGACCAACATGAGGTAATGTTGGTATTTGACTTTGATCGATAACGGAGCATGTTTCATCAGAAAGGTCTAGATAGTTATTTGGACGATAAGGACCGCAATTATTCGCGGGTAATACGTTTTTCCTGAAATTCGGTTGGCAGCTACTTTTTTTCCATTCAGTCCATTTCTCTATAGATTCTGATGAACTCAGGTTTGTTGGTCCTGGAAGACCCATTGAAATTGCGAATTCGGATGCTTTCTCTCCAACCAGCAAAGTATGTTCAGTGTGTTGCATCACTAGCCTAGCAGCTTTGATTCCATCTTTTACGTATCGCATGGCAGCAACGGCTCCTACTTCCATAGTCACCTATGCATCCCCTTAGCAGAAGATGGACCAAATATCATGCCGATGTACGACAGTTTTAGAATGCAAGATAGAAACTAATTAACAGTTACGGAACATGGTAATTGGTTGTTACCCCGTCCATGACCAGAGCATCCATTGTAGTTTCTCCATTTTCATCTGGACTCCCACCTGGACCAACTGTTAAGAATAGGATACACATAAGGTGTTGCACAAATTCACTTAACATGAACTAACAACCTAAGAAGGACCAAAGTCGCGTGTGCGCGCGTGTGTGAGACATTAATAGTAGCGCTATAGTATAGCGGAATTTGAACGAATTGCCGTTGCTTTGCGATACACTATTCAGTACAAAATATTCTCAAATAGCGGCTAAAGTGGCGCTATAGTACTATTGTGCAATGGAGTTTGAACAAACCGCTATTTTTTTCCAATCTATATGTGCGCGCGCGTGCATGGCTAAGCATGCAACAAGAATGGACCACGGTGTAACTCAAAAGTCAAAACCAATGAGTATTTCAAATAAGTGCTTAATTACTAAATAAGTGCTTAATTATGTTATGCTAACACTGTAACATCCCCTAAACTTGCCATAATAGTATAATTAGCTATGAATCACGGACACCAGAAACACAACACCAACATTGACCGTCGACACCAATAATAATTTGAAAAAAATAAATAGAGTAAACATTATCACAAGTATACATAAACAAACAAAAAAAAGCCAAAATTTAGATTGAAAAGTCCAAATTAAGTTCAAAAGATTAAAGTCCGAACCTGTTCCATCACACCTAAGTTCCTCACAAGTAGAGCAACCTTCAACAACGGAATCCACAGCAGAAGCACCACCATCAACGGCTCTCCATGCAGCTCTAACAGCTTCAATAAACGGCCATGTGCTTACCACCAATGGATACTGTTTCAATTCAACACTTCCATGATGCTCCACCACCTAATCACAATAACACATGCAAAATAAAATCCAAAATTTAAAATTTGTGAAATGAAAACGAAAACCCAATTATGATTTTGGTATAAAGTTAATGAATTTGAGTTTTGGAGAGTAATTGAGAATGAGAAAAGAGAATGGGTGGTGTGTAGTACCAGTGAGAGTAAAGAGAGGAAGAATATGAAGTTGAAGGGGTTTGAAGCCATGGACGTGTTGTGAGCTATCGATTTGAGAAAATGGAGAACATCCAAATCACGGTGATATTAAAAAAAAATGTTCTTTTAAAACGTTTTGTGGAAATTTTGAATTATTGCTTTTTCTAATGGAGAAAATTCGAAAAACTAAATTAAATGTAATTTTCATTTAATTTTATCTCCAAAAAAAAATGAATTTTTTTAAATGGTTTTTGGTTAAATCAGAATATTCTAACTTATAAAATTATTACATATGAAATTCAAGATATATTTTTCTAATCTTTATTTTTTATTATACTTATCTTGAATTTTAAATGGACGTTGGAATATTAACCTTACAGACCTACTTTGTGTCATTATATTAGAGATCGCATCATTGACTCAGAGTCATCCATCATTGATCAACATCAATTATGGTTCTAGAATAGAACATTGGTCTCATATGTGAGAATTGACTCTTAATTCCTGCGAAATTCCTCAAATACAGCATCTTCGGTCTAAAATCAAATCTTTATCGAAACTGAGAGATGGACACAGTCACCTCATACCTTACACCGAAGAACTATGTTAAATCTTTTGATCTCGTTCTGCCTCAATTAATCGTCATCGATGATCTTCTATGAAAATTGAAAAGTGTGTTCTCATGATATTTCCGCTATGATGAAAAATGATGAGTTATTCCTAGCGGATTAACAAATGGACATTGATGCAAAGTATGTTGTGAGATTATGTCTATGGTTGAAGAGCTTCCTACCAACATGAAAGTTGCACTATAAGTTTTCAACCTAGTTTTTCGACATGTAAAAATTCTTGTGTTGGTTTAGTTTCAAGTGAATATACTTCTTGAGTTGGAGTATGATAGTTTTTAATCCGTCTTTATAATTATAAGATAATAAAAAATTACTCACATGTAATACTGATAAATGCACACATTATAATAATAAGCAATAACATAAGTATCCCCTTAACGGCCACTAATGAGTGGATTTAATACATCATCGTAGTAGTAGTAGTACTAGTAGTAGTAGTAGTAGTAGTAGTAGTAGTAGTAGTAGTAGTAGTAGTAGTAGTAGTAGTAGTAGTAGTAGTAATAATAATAATAATAATAATAATAATAATAATAATAATAATAATAATAATAATAATAATAATAATAATAATAATAATAATAATAATAATAATAATAATAATAATAATAATAATAATAATAATAATAATAATAATAATAATAATAATAATAATAATAATAATAATAATAATAATAATAATAATAATAATAATAATAATAATAATAATAATAATAATAATAATAATAATAATAATAATAATAATAATAATAATAATAATAATAATAATAATAATAATAATAATAATAATAATAATAATAATAATAATAATAATAATAATAATAATAATAATAATAATAATAATAATAATAATAATAATAATAATAATAATAATAATAATAATAATAATAATAATAATAATAATAATAATAATAATAATAATAATAATAATAATAATAATAATAATAATAATAATAATAATAATAATAATAATAATAATAATAATAATAATAATAATAATAATAATAATAATAATAATAATAATAATAATAATAATAATAATAATAATAATAATAATAATAATAATAATAATAATAATAATAATAATAATAATAATAATAATAATAATAATAATAATAATAATAATAATAATAATAATAATAATAATAATAATAATAATAATAATAATAATAATAATAATAATAATAATAATAATAATAATAATAATAATAATAATAATAATAATAATAATAATAATAATAATAATAATAATAATAATAATAATAATAATAATAATAATAATAATAATAATAATAATAATAATAATAATAATAATAATAATAATAATAATAATAATAATAATAATAATAATAATAATAATAATAATAATAATAATAATAATAATAATAATAATAATAATAATAATAATAATAATAATAATAATAATAATAATAATAATAATAATAATAATAATAATAATAATAATAATAATAATAATAATAATAATAATAATAATAATAATAATAATAATAATAATAATAATAATAATAATAATAATAATAATAATAATAATAATAATAATAATAATAATAATAATAATAATAATAATAATAATAATAATAATAATAATAATAATAATAATAATAATAATAATAATAATAATAATAATAATAATAATAATAATAATAATAATAATAATAATAATAATAATAATAATAATAATAATAATAATAATAATAATAATAATAATAATAATAATAATAATAATAATAATAATAATAATAATAATAATAATAATAATAATAATAATAATAATAATAATAATAATAATAATAATAATAATAATAATAATAATAATAATAATAATAATAATAATAATAATAATAATAATAATAATAATAATAATAATAATAATAATAATAATAATAATAATAATAATAATAATAATAATAATAATAATAATAATAATAATAATAATAATAATAATAATAATAATAATAATAATAATAATAATAATAATAATAATAATAATAATAATAATAATAATAATAATAATAATAATAATAATAATAATAATAATAATAATAATAATAATAATAATAATAATAATAATAATAATAATAATAATAATAATAATAATAATAATAATAATAATAATAATAATAATAATAATAATAATAATAATAATAATAATAATAATAATAATAATAATAATAATAATAATAATAATAATAATAATAATAATAATAATAATAATAATAATAATAATAATAATAATAATAATAATAATAATAATAATAATAATAATAATAATAATAATAATAATAATAATAATAATAATAATAATAATAATAATAATAATAATAATAATAATAATAATAATAATAATAATAATAATAATAATAATAATAATAATAATAATAATAATAATAATAATAATAATAATAATAATAATAATAATAATAATAATAATAATAATAATAATAATAATAATAATAATAATAATAATAATAATAATAATAATAATAATAATAATAATAATAATAATAATAATAATAATAATAATAATAATAATAATAATAATAATAATAATAATAATAATAATAATAATAATAATAATAATAATAATAATAATAATAATAATAATAATAATAATAATAATAATAATAACAACAATAACAACAATAACAACAACAATAATAATAATAACAACAATAACAACAATAACAACAACAATAATAATAATAATAATAATAATAATAACAATAATAATAATAATAACAACAATAACAACAATAACAACAACAATAATAACAATAATAATAATAACAACAATAACAACAATAACAACAATAACAATAATAACAACAATAACAACAATAACAACAATAACAATAATAATAACAACAATAACAACAATAACAATAATAACAATAATAACAATAACAATAATAACAACAATAACAACAATAACAATAATAACAATAATAACAATAACAATAATAACAATAATAACAATAATAACAATAACAATAATAACAATAATAATAATAATAATAATAACAATAACAATAATAATAATAATAATAATAATAATAATAATAATAATAATAATAATAATAATAATAATAATAATAATAATAATAATAATAATAATAATAATAATAATAATAATAATAATAATAATAATAATAATAATAATAATAATAATAATAAATAAATAAATAAATAAATAAATAAATAAATAAAAACTTCATAACTAACCCAACAAAGTGAAACAGACAACTGAACTTATCCCAAGAATATAAAAGCATTTGGTCGTAATGAGAATTATTTGGTGGAAATTCAACCACAACCTATGGAGAATTTCACTCGATCAATCTTGATCTCAAGATTGTTTCAACCCACGTAATGACAATGAAAGAAAAGTTTAGAAAGAAAGAAAGAAAGTAAACATTGGATAAGAAGATAAACAATTTTCTGCAGAGAACTCTCTGCCCACAAATTGTGGAAATTCTGTTATTTCACTTGCAATTGCAAACTGTGAATTACAAAATATGATGAGATGAGATGAGATGTTTACAAAATAAGGGTTTCTCTCTATTTATAGATTTATGTTAGCTTGCACCCCAAGCCAAAGCTCAAACTATAAAAGTTCAGAAATATTTAATCTATTTTTTCTAAATCAAATCTAATCTTTCTAAAACAATGAATTTCATATTTAACACACCACATAATTCATTGTGTCTAAATTATCTACATTTATCATAGACCTAACTTCTTGAACACTTCGATTGACACTCCCTTCGTCATGATGCCTGCAATCTGATTCTCAGGTCTGCAGTGTTCCAAGTTCATCTTCCTTTCTGCTACCTGCTATCGAAGATAATAGAACTTCATTTCGATGTGCTTGCTTCGACCGGGTGCTATTGGATTCTTCGCCAAGTTGATAGCTGACATGTTGTCGATTTTCTTATTCCAAACTCTTGGAGCTTACTTAAGTTCATACAGAACTTTATGCAGCATGTACACCTTTCTTTCTTTGCCTCATTTCACAAACACAGCTGGTTGTGCAACATAAACTTCTTCGTCTAAGGGGTCATTAAGGAATGCAAATTTCACGTTCATTTGACATGTGTGCCAATTGTTCGTATTTGTTAGACCAACAACCAATCTGATTGTTTTGATCCTAGCAACAGGTGCAAAATCTTCGTCGAAGTCGATTCCTTCCTTCTGAAGAAATCCTTTCGCCACAAGTATCGCCTTGTCGAGTTACTTCTTCTTTAGGATTCACCTTCACCTTATAAACTCACTTCACATCAATTGCCTTCATGCCTTGAGGCAAATGAACAAGTGACCAGGTGTTGTTGACTTCGATGAAGTCTAACTCCTCATTCATTGCTCTCACCCACTATTTCAATGCCTCAATTGCATTGACCGGTTTGA